TATAGTATTATAATAGCATTATATAGTGGTTCAACGCATTATATTGTGGGGTTTTTTTTTGAGTCACAGATCGGACTATTTTTTCGGATAATCAAGAAAAATAATATTTAAATCACAGAGAATGACAATGCCATGAAGGGGTTTTGACATAGGCTAATTTCCGCACTGTCTGAAACATGTCTTTTGTGCGCGCTTTGTGTGCGAGAACAGCGCGTGAGTAACGAATTGAGCTCTCTTACGTTTCTTCTTCTTGTGGTTTAAAATTGCTTGTACGCGTAAATTGGCAAATTAATCTGCGAATCACGTGCGTGCCGAACGGTCTCATCCATACGTATTAAGGAGTCAACCGTTAAACCAATTAACCAATTAAATCCGTTTAACTCCTAATATGTGACAGATCAGAGCAATCTTTCATTTACTTATTTAACATGAAATTGTCAAATTGCACTCCATATCAATTGCATACAAAGAAAATACAGACTAATTAGAACAATCATTAACATAAATAAATAACAGAGTGTCATATCTATACACATTTTTCCCAGAACGTTCTTGCGACCCAGTAGCAATTCTTCCACGGCCCGGTAGTGGGTCGCAACCCGGTGGTTGGGGACCTCTGGTTTAAGCAACTTAATTATAATTGGTTATAAACATTATTTTAAACATTATGCACTTTTTTTCACAGATAGTCATGTTATATTATGCTTTGAATAAACGTGCATTAGTAATATTCTGCACAATGCGCCCTCTTGTGGCCTCAGGAGAGAATCCAAAAGCTTTTCTTCACCCTAACTGAAATTATGCATTTTAAATTCGAATATAATTCGAATCTTGATCATATTTAAGTACAAAATTAGAATTTAGTTTTTCAGCCATTTTGACAGCCATAACAACCAAAGCTATATACAAAGTACCAAAGAAAACACTGTACAAAAAGACCAAAACAAACAGATAAATATATACATGCAAACTTTGTTGTAGGGAATTGCTCACGGCACCAGAGTTGCTTGCTTGCTCGCTAGGTAAACTGACCATTGCATGCTGGTTTGGGGCTTTCTTTTATAGCCCAAGCCCCGTCCCCTCGGATTAAACCAGGTTGACCAAATAAAGAGGTAAGTATGAAAGGGTATGTACATATTTACAACAACACATAAATATACATATAAATATAACATCCACTCCATGTTTACATGTTTTCACACTTTAAAATAAATGAATATTTACAAAAATAACAGAAATAAACAGATTACAACAACAACGCAACATTTCCTATTTCCCCTTTAAGACAAACAATGGACGAGTCGGCACTATATAGCCAGGCCGCTGGGTGGTGCACGGGTTGGCCGACCGATGGAAGGAGAGCAACGCGAAAGCCCGACTACACAGACACAAACAAACACTGAACACAGGTAAGTATTTACAACACGAAACAAAACCAAAAGAAAACAAAGGACAACTTCAAAATATATATGTGTGTGTGTGTGGTTATGCGCAGCTTGGATCACTGTCAGGGATGGAGTGAATATATTTGCGTGTATGTGAAAACAGCATGCTAATGGCGTGTGTGTGCACCCACATCGCCTCAGCAGGGAATTACAGAGGAGGAGTGAGGTAAGATGCGGTGTAAATGTGCTGTGCTAACCGACAGGGACAGGTCACTTTGTCACATCACCTCCCCCCTCTCCAGGCCGCGAACTGACCGGGTACCGAGACAGGTAGTCAGCTGTCTTATTCTGGGGGCCAGGTCGATGTTGAACTTTGAATTGGTATGGTTGCAGGGAAAGATACCATCTGGTCACACGAGAGTTGTGATCCTTCATTGTGTGGATCCATGTCAGGGCTCTGTGATCTGTTTCAAGGATAAACTCCCTTCCCAGCAGGTAGTACCTGAGGCTCTCCAATGCCCACTTGATTGCCAGGCCTTCCTTTTCCACTGTGGAGTATCGAGTCTCTTTTGGCAGCAACTTCCTGCTCAGGTAAGCAATAGGCCTTTCTTCACCCGCATCTCCCTGGGCCAGGACTGCTCCAATCCCCACAGCAGAAGCATCCACCTGCACAAAAAACTCCTTCGTGAAGTCTGGACTCTTCAGGACTGGGCCTGAACACATCTGTTTCTTTAAGATGTTAAAGGCTGCTTCACACTCCTTAGTCCAGGTAATGGGGTTCTTCACATTTTTGCAGAGCAGGTTGGTTAGTGGGACAGCAGTGGGGGAGAAGTTGGGAATGAAGCGTCGATACCATCCCACCAGCCCCAAGAAAGACCGGACTAGTTTCTTAGTTCTCGGTCTTGGACTGTGTCGAACTGCTTCCATCTTGTCCACTTGAGGTCTCAGCTCCCCATTTCCAAGGTGGTAGCCAAGGTAATTGGTCTCAGATTTAGCCCACTCACATTTAGCCACGTTTAAAGGTGGGGTAAGCGATTTTTCAAAAACGCTTTAGAAAACTGATTCGGGCCGACTAGCAAAACAAACTTGTAGCCAATCAGCAGTAAGGGGCGTGTCTACTCATGATGTGGAGGAGAGAGGGTTCAGTCTGAGCCGAGCGACAGAAAGATAGAGATGGTGGATAAAAAAACAAAAGAGGAAAACGTCTGCGGAACAAAAGAAGGTTTAAGGCAAGAAGTAGAACCCGTGTAAATATCGGATCAGCTTTCCAGCGCTGGAGAGAACTCAAGGAGCGGAAGGCCTGCGATCGGACGCCGAGGTTGCTTTGTTGTTTTTTTCCAATAGATGAGTAAAACACCGTGTCTGCGCCGCAACAGCTAAAGTCTGTCTAGTACACTGGACGCGACAAAGCGACCGTTGAGAATCATTTGAAATCTGTCAATATGTCATGAATAGAACGCAGCAGCAGTTTCTGTCGGGGATTTGTCGTGTCATGCCGCATCCAGTGTAGACCATAGATATGTATATACTGTATATCTATGGTGTAGACAGCATCGCTGATTATAATGAGTTCCATAGTATTTTGTCACGCCGTGCCACTCGCGTCCGGTGTAGACACTGTGTAACATGGTTTTGCTTTGTTTCACAGAACTAATCGTTGCCTGGGTTGCGTACGTATGTGCGGGGCGGAGCTATCAAAATAGGGGCGAGACCCTTTTGGGGTAGGGGCATGTTTGTTTTGGTGATTTCAAATGTCAACATTGGCTACCAGAAATCGCTTACCCCACCTTTAAGGTCAGGCCAGCCTCTTGGATCTTGCTCGGGGTCTTTTCAAGGTGCAGAAGATGGTCTTCCCAAGTCGTACTATAGATTACG